TAGAACACAAGCCCGACGTGATAAAACAAGACAATATGGGCCATACGTGTTCGAAAAACACTTCGCGCAGACCACAAAAGGTTCTTAGAACACTCTTTGGTGGGCCTATAGGCAAGCCAGGGCGCTTCGCCACTGCTTGGTGGATGCTTGCCCGTGCCCACTGCGCCTCAGACTCTGGGCGCCCCCGCTTGGAAAAAAACCCAAGACGCAGCCGGCATGGACACGCATCGTCCCCGCACGAGGAGTGGCGAGCTGGCGGCGGAAAGATCCATGGCTCTGCCGACGCGCGGCCGCCCGACACCGCGCGCGCGAGGGCGCAGGAAGCGAATCGGGAAGAACGCCCCCCCGGCCAGGACCGCGAAGCTCGAAATACGATCCAGGAGGGCCCAGGATCGAATCGATAAGTCGAATCGGCGATCGAAATTCATCGGATCGGCAAAAATCGGCAGCCAAGTCGAGAGGAGTCGAATCGGTAGACATCGGCAGGCTTGTAGGCCTGCACTAAGACATCGGAGCCCATATCGGAATCCCAAATCGAATCGAATGGGAGTCGGAATCCAGCGACATCGAATCGAACCGAATCGGAGGGATCGAGATGAGCCTTGCTGAACCCTGAGGGGGAGGACGGGCCCGGCTTGAGGGTGGCAACGTTTAGGTCGGGCATGTCCCTCCCTACAGGGGAATGTTACACGACAAAAGAACATAGCCAAAACATACACCCAAATGGTCAAAACATGCTCAAAAAATCGTCCCCTGACTATGTGCTTACTATGTTTGAACATTCCCCTGTAGAAGGACAAGCCCGACTTAAAGGCAACGTCGAGCTCAAGCCGGCGATTTTTACACCGCCGACGGGCCCCCAACAGCGCCGCCGCACGCTCCCGTGCGGCGCGGGGGCGTCGGGCCCGCGACGGCGAGGAAAGCGCCGTTGGCCGTCGCTGCATCCCCCTCCCAGAACCAGATGAAGAATGGTGGGCCTGTTTTCCACCGCCACCACCACCATAAGTAGGAGGGGGAGGGGCTCCTCCTCCTCCTCCTCCTCCTCTTCCTCCTCCTCCTCCTCCATCTCCACCTCCTTGCCCCCTCCAGCTTATTGCGGTGGTGGTGGAGAACAGGCCCATCAAAGAACATCCTGGAGGCCTCGCGCGGCAACTTGAGACCCGACTTACGTCGGATCTGCGTCGGATTTACGTCGGACTAAGTCGGATCTTCGTCGTATTTACGTCGGGTTCACGTCGGCCTGCGTCGGATTTGCGTCGGAGTTGCGTCGGACTGACTCGGGAGCATCGCCGCGCGAGCGTCGACCCATAGCTTACGGAACTGGCGAGTGGACCAAATCATACCACTACGCGCCGCGCGAGGTCTCCAGGATTTACCTCATAAAGAACCTACAGTCAACCCGTATAAGGATGCGCGGTAAGGATGCAAGAGCCTCGAAGGTCCGTGTCCAATATTTTCGAGCGAGGCTGGCCAGCGAGAGTCGCCAAGGACGGGCCGAACGGGAAGGATTCAAGGGTACTCCAGATTTCGTAAGAAAGGGAGGGGGGTCTCATGTCGGGGGGGGTCTCTTCCAGGCTATCTTGGAGGGCCTGGGGGAGTCTGGGGACGATGTTTTGGAGGGTTCTCCCACGGGGGGGTGGTCTGAAAGGGCTTGTCTTGGAGGGTCCAGACCCCCTCCCTTTTATTACGAAATCTGGGGTAACCTCGGAAAGTCGCTCCTCCTTTCTGGGGAAGCCAAGAGGTACCGATTACCACTCCCTCTCCTGGGGTGCGCTCTGACCAGAATTTCGAGGCGAATCCAGCGGTCGCGGCGAGGGCCTCCCGGGAGGCCCAAGAAGGCGACGACGGGGCAAGAGCAACGGCAAAAGTACCCATCGGTCGGAAGAAGTAGATTGGGTTTCCGCCTGCCTCCTGAAGAGGAGGGAAGAGGGAAAACCACTCGACTCTTGAAGTAGGAAGGCGCTGAAAGTAGATTGGAATCTGGGAATCCAAAAATACCTACTTTCAACGACCGATGGGTACCTTTTTCCTCCTCAAAATTACTGTGCGGGTTCACTGTAGTCCCCCCCTAGCGTTGCCCCCGACCACCGTACAGCTCAGAAGCTTGGAGAACAGGCTGGGGTTTAAGATTGCGGATGCCATGACTATGGTCACTCTAACAAACCGATCCTTGAATTAAACATGGGTTGAAACATGTTTGAAGCGTGATCCCAACAATACTTATCAAACCATGTGTTTAACATGTGTAAGGCATGCTTAAAACCTGTGTTAGCCATCCTCGAACTGATTGGCAACTTGCTTCCTCTCCATTGATCGGCTTCCACAAGTTTAAGATTACCAGCCTGGAACACATCCCTATCCCTATGCTGGGCACCTCCTCATCACGATGCCAATCTTAGGGATTCCCTTATTTTTTGAGGGCGGATCCCTAAGCTTGTCATCGCCTTTTGGCGTGCCAATCTTAGGGGTAGGGATACGTTCGAGGCTGGTGATAAGAATCCATCCGACGGGGCGTCTGCAGCCAAGTGTGCACCCCGACGGGGGGGTCCTCCCGTGCCCCCGCGCCGACCGGACCCGGCAGGGGCACCGGCAAGAGCCCGTGCGCGGCACTCGGGGTGCAGGGGCCCTGGAAGTGGGACGAGGAAGACCATGCACATCCAGCTTTCTTGGCCCTCCTCCTCCTCCTCCTCCTCCTCCTCCCCTCGCCCTCCCGGAAAAACGAGGATGGCGGGGGGAGGAGGGCCGAGGGAGCTGACTGCACTGTGCCTCTGCTCCCAGGGAAGACCATATGTCGACGCTCTGCGGGCGGGGCGGGGCCAGAAAAAAGGCGGCCGAGGATCGCCGACGGGGAAGGCTGCGAGGGCAACCTCGGAGGGTTGCTCATTCGGGGATAGACAGACCCCCCTTTAGCAAGACGTGGTCACCGTTTTGGAAGAACCAGAAACGACAGGATTGAAAAAAACACATCGACACCAAATCATGAAACGCTGTGTATCGGGGATGGACAGACACCCCTTTAGTAGAACGTGGTTAGTGAAAACGACCTGAGGCCCAAACCTGGCGGGCGCAGGCCTGGGAAATAACGGCCACGGCGCCCTCTCGAGAACCGAAAACGGACAATTCACTAATCGACGTGTCACTGGTGGGGGTTCTGTCCACCCCCGACTCATCCTTGCGATGCGGGTTGACTGTAGGGCTTGCACGCAGTCTCAGAGCGATCACTGTCCGCGCCCCTGCGTCGAAGGAGAGAAACCAACACGAGCATAGACTTTCGGAACTCCGCTCGGGCCTCTTGAGACTGCGCTGGGCCTCCCGGCAGCGCCCCTGGCGCCGCCCCTGGCCCGCTCCGCGCGCCAGAGAAGGGCGTTCAGCGCAAATCCGAGGAATCTACGCGGACCTCTGAAAGTTTATGCTCATTCAGTTGTTTCTCCCCAGACTGCGGTGCGGGTATGTAAATTGATCGACCCCGCCCTCCGGGAGACTGAGACTCGAGTTTGGGAAACTCGACTTTGCCTGTCGGGGCTGTAAGAACAAAAGTGCAGCCTGGCCAGAAACTTGGCGCGAACTCCCGCGGTGAGCATCTCGCGAAAGCTGGACCGCGTCGACATTCAGGGCGGGGTCGTCAAACACGGCGGCGACCCCGACTACTGGCACACTCGAGCCTTCCTGGGGGGGAGAAGAGGTGTCGATACCGCTACTCCCCAGACCTCTCCCCAGGTGCATGCTGACTAGAACGTCGATCGAGGCGAATCCAGCCGTGGCGACGAAGGCCTCCCCGGAGGCCCCCAAATTCGAAAGCGAGGCAAGGCTAGCGGTATCAGTACCTCTTCCTCCTCTGACCTACGCTCCCCCGAGTCGACCCGCCTCCCGAGTCGAAGACGAGATGGCAAAGGTCGGGCGCCCGTCGGGACCACCCTCCCTCGGGAGACCCAAACCAGGACACACGCGCCCGGCCAGGCTTCATCAGAAGAAGAGAAAGCAACATGATCATAGACGTTTGCCCCCCCCCCCCCCCGCGGATTTTTGGGATCTGCGCTGGACCCCCGTCCCTGGCGCGAGGAGCGCGCCAGGGGCGGAACCGGAGGCGCCGCCCTGGGGGCCCAGCGCGGATCCAAGAAATCCGCGCGGAGCGCCAAAATTTGATGCTTGTGGCGTGTCCTCCTTGTTCGACTCGTGGCCCTGCCCCGCCCTGAAACTGGCATTCCTATAGGCCTCCCACGAAACGTTCTTAGAGTCCAGACAAGGTAGAATAACAAAAACAATGTTCTTAGAACACAAGCCCGATGTGTTAAAACAAGGACGAACTCAACCAGAAATCTCCAAGAACATGTCGTGCAGACCACAAGAGGTTCCTATATCATGTTCGGTGGGCCCATATAGGCGAGCCAGGACGCTTCGCCGCTGCTGGAGAAGCCCCGAGCAGATGAGCTTTCGGAAACGCCGGCTGGGCTGATGAGCAGATGGCTTCGAAGGATGCCTGCAGCCAGGCGAGCCCCAGCGGGGGCGTCCGAGAATTAACCCCTAATAGGCAACTGTCCTTACTCGACGCTTCGACCTTGGGCGGCAGGGGGGGGGGGGGGCGTCTGGCTCCAGACCTCTGCTGGATGCGGCTGTTTTTGCAGCAGTGCGTCCTATGGAGGAGGCTCCACCTGCTCGAAGCGGGCGCCAGGAACAGCCAAGATCTACTCCAGGGGAAGGGAGATGGGGTGCGAGGGCCCGCGCCGATCGGCAAAACAATGAATGAGAACGCGAACACATATCGATTGGACCCGTAGAGGTCGGGCTCGCAAGTGGCCGCTAAAACGACGACACCTCTTGCACGGGCTGGTTCTGCTTCCGCCGCCTTCCGCCAAACATGCGCCGGCTTCCGCCAGCTTCCGGAAGAGACTTCAGCTCCTCGTATCCCTCGAAAACGAGGCCCCTCTTCTGGAACGCTGCGTGGAAATTCGTACGCTCGCACGTCGAGCGTCTCTGCCTCGCTCCACGAACCCCCGCGCGTCCGGCTTGCTCTTCTTCTTGGCCTTGTCGCCGCTCCGGCTGCGGCTGCGGCTGCGCCGAGCGCCGCCTCTGCCGCCACCCTTGCCGCGCTCCTTCGGCGAGAATCGCAGGGGTTGGGCAGGACATAAGAGAAAGAAAAGGAGTATGAGGGATGAGGGATGAGGGATGAGGGATGAGGGATGAGGATGAGGATGAGGATGATGATGATGATGATGATGATGAAGATAATGATGATGATGATGATGATGATGATGATGATGATGATGATGATGATGATGATGGTGATGATGATGAGGAGGAGGAGGAGGAGGAGGAGGAGGAGGAGTACAGTCAACCCGTATGATACAAGTATGCGCGATAAGGATGCAAAGGGCATTGAAAGGCCATGCGGACACCTTGCGAGCGGGGCGAATGGATGAAAATGGCACACTGCTGCGTAGGCTACTCTCCCAATCCTTTTCCTCGTCCTCCTCCTGCTCCTCCTGCTCCTCCTCCTCCCTCTCCTCCTCCTCCTCCTCCTTTTGTTCGTTTTCCTCTTGCTCATATTCCTGGTCGTATTCCTCTTGTTCCTTCTCCTCCTCCTACCCGTCCCCCTCCCCTTCCCCCTCTTCCTCCTCATCCCAAGATGCCTTCAGGTCTCCACGAGGTTCCCACGACAACTTGCATGTGCATCGGTCTCCTCATCCTTATCCTCATCCTCCTGTTCCTGTGCCTCCTCGTTATTGTCTCCTCCTGTTCCTCCCCCTCCTCCCTCACCTCCCTCACCTCCCTCCCCTTCCAAACATGACTCTAGGAGGATTCTGCGAGGCTAATACAACGCACCAGGGCATCGCTTCTAAATGCGAGTATCTGAACTATGGGCTCTTCTGCTGGCGATAGGGTTGGGTTTCCCACAAATCGTGCTGGGCGGCGGCTCCACTACATGCTACTGCACTCCACGAGGAGACGCTGGGGCATCGATCGCTGGATACTCGTGTGACGCCTCCACGCGGCTCCTCAGGGAACTCGCCTGGGCATCGTTCCAGGATGAGATGGATGCTATTCTGCACTAGCTCTCCCGTCGTCGTCAGGATTCGCTATTCCAAGGAATCTTCTAGGGCGTCTATCCCTTGTCATAGGAACGTACTGGAGAAAACCATAAAGACCTCCTCGGCGCGTCTACACGGAGCCTCTGTCCACTCACTCACAGAAGCAGATAGTACAGTGGCATGCGCGAGGAGAAGTTTCCCTCACCAGGAAGCTTTGCTGGGTGGTCTAGAGGGGGGTACGTAACTCACCAAGAATCTGGCACTGCCATCAGCTCCGCAAATGTGCGTGGGTCGTCCTTCTCCTCAGCCGAGTGCCTCCGCCTCCGCCGCCGTCGCCCATAGAGGAACACACAACGGCAGATACACAATTTCTCAAAAAGGTCTGCGCGGATTTCTAGGATCGGCGTTGGACCCCCCTCCCTGGCGCGCGGAACGCGCCAGGGGCGGCGCCGGAGGCGGCGCTGTGAGAAATCATGCTTCTGCCGATTCTGCCCTTTGGGAACCCACGCGTCGTCCACTTTCGCTTCGTCCCTTGTCTTAGGTCGGGCGTGTCCCCCTGCAGGCGGAGGTTGGACGAAAAGTTTGAAAACATACCCCAAACATGATATGATAAATACTCAAACAAAATATCGACCCCTGATTATATTGTTTGGCTATGTTTGAATTCCACTCCTGTAGAGGGGCACGCCCGACTTACAACTTCTGCCGAATTTGTCCTTTGGGCACCCACGCGTCGTCCACTTCCGCTTCGTCCTTTGTTGTTACCCTCCCCCTGCCCGCCTCGAGCAACGGCCCGTCCGCCACGAAGGCGGGTCAGCACCCACCCACCCCGCCCACCCCTCTCTGCGCCACGCCACCCCAGGGGAAGTTCGGGCTCGGTCGGCTCCCTGGGCGGCGATCCCTCCAGGATACAGGCTATAGGTGCGCTCGCGCATCATCACGCATCCAACCCCCCCCACCCACCCCTTTCTCATTGGGCGTGCTGTTTCTCTATCCGCCGGCGCTTGTCATATCGCTAAAAGGCGGGAACTGCGCGCGTCCGAGGACGCGGCGGGGGATGAACCGCAGGATGGCCAGGAGGAAGAGGGTGATGAGGCAGGGGGGGGACGAGGAGGAGCAGCAACAACAGGGGCTGGAGTGGTAGAAGCAGGACCACCAGGGGAAGATGGGGGAGGGAAAAGGAGCGGGGCGAGGCCAGCAAAGTTGACCTCGCTGGGACGAGAGCGCCCTTCTGAACGACGGGAGCAAGCCGCCCATCCTAAATAGAGGCCGCCCTGCAGCGAGGACACCATTTGAATAGACCGAGAGCGTTCCGATGAGAATGACAACCGTAAAACACATCAGAACATGAAATCATGTGTGAAGCGTAATGAAGAGAAACACAAACAAAAAACATCTTCCGCCCGGGGTCAGGAGGGAAGGGGGGGCAGTGTGCACGCGGAATATAATTGTAGAGGAAGGGATGGGAGAGGAGGAGGGGAGAGGAGGAGGGGGAGGAGGAAGGGATAGGAGAGGAGGGGGAGGAGGAGGAGGAGGAGGAGGAGGAGGAGGAGAGGAGGAGGAGGAGGAGGAGGAGGAGGAGGAGGGGAGAGGAGGAGGAGGAAGGGATGGGAGAGGAGGAGGGGGGTGAAGTGAGAGAAGGGGTGGGCGGCGGAGCGGGAAGAAGTCGGGGGAGAGGGGGGGGCGGCGGACGGGAGGAGGTGAGAGAGGGAGGGGGGACGGGGAGAACAGCAGGCACCGATACTGCCACTCTCCGGACCCCTCCCAGGGCGCGTTCCGACTTGGACCTCGAGGCGGATCTGGCGGTGGCGACGAGGGCCTCCCACGAGGCCTGAGTAGGCGAAAGCGGGCGGACGGTAGTGGTACGCAGTCAACCCGTATAAGAAGGGTGCGCGGTGAGGATATGCAAGGGCTTCGGCAGGCCACATCGACACTTTGCGAGCGGGGCGCGGCCAGCGAAAGCGGCCAAGGATGGGCCGGGGAAGGACTCAAGGGTAAGCTTGGAAGGTTGCTCCTTCTTCCTATGTGGTCGACTATACGGAAGAGGAGGGGATAGGGGAGGCAGAAGCACCCAGCTTGGCGGCGAGCCCGGGGGGGAAGTAGGAAAGATCCCAGCACGTCGCCATCACGCCGTCGTCGGACAGCGAGGCAAGGTCGCAAACATCCGACATGGCGTGCCATAGGTGGGGTGGTGTAAAGGAGAAGGCCTTCTCGGGAGGCTCGGAGGTCCCACCTGCATCGTCGATGCAGCGGCGCAACGTCGATGCATCGGCGATGCGGCGCGATCCTCCGACCCCATCTACCCGGACCCAATATACAACCCTCGTCAAAATTAGCCTCAAACATGTCTTACGTGGCTGAACTGTTTGTGGGGAGATACTGGACAGACAGAGTTGCGGTGACTGCGAGGCACTCGTATGCGCCGCCCCTCCCATGTCGGTCATCATCGAACTTCCGAGCCGTTCCCGGTCAGACCACCACTGCCCTGGCCCCGACATAGGAGGGGCGCCTGTCGACACTGAAGGGCGCGCCGACATCGCAGGGGCGTGGTCGCCATTTTTGTTGAAGATAATTTTTGACGAGGGTAGTAGGATCAGTTCGGGCCGGTCCCCCTACAGGTGGATTTTGAGCGAGAAATCAGCAGCACCCCCGAAATGTACAAATCAAGAATAGCCAAATCGTCCCCAGGCTATCTTCGACTATTCTTGAACATTCCTCCTGTGGAGGGATGCGCCCGACCTCAGGGCAGGCGGCCCAGCGAGTCCGCCCCCCGATGGGGCGCCACCCGCCTCCGCACACCGCGCTCTCCGCAGCCCCCCCCCCCCCCGGATGGCGACGAGGGGCGGCCGTCCCAGCCCGGGAGGCCGCGCCGCGCACCCGGAAGCGACGACCTCTCTTCGCAGCCCCGCGGGCAGCCCTCGAGCAGCAAGGGGAGGAGGTAGTCGGTGGCGAGCAAGGGGGGGAAGCGAGAATAGAATGATAATACTAATCATAACAATACACATAATACTACTAATAATAATAATAATAACAAAAACAACAATAATAATACTAATAATAATAACAATAATAATACTACTAATAATAATAATAATCATACTAAGAATAATAATAACAATAACAATCATAATCATGATAATAATAGTCATGATAATAATAATGATACGACTGACAATAATAATAATACTCATAAGAGTAATAATACGAATAATGATAATGATAATACTGATAATAATACTACTAATAATAATGATGATACTAAGCCAAATGAACACACACACACACACTTTTGGCGCTCCGCGCGGGTTCCTTGGATTCGCGCTGGACCCCCCCCTCCCTGGCGCGCGGAGCGCGCCAGAGGCGGCGCCGGACACGCCGCCGGCGGGGCCCAGGCGCGGACCCAAGAAATCCGCGCGGAGCGCCCAAAGTTCTATGTTTATGTGGTTTCTTCTTCTTCGAGAGAGAGGAGGAGGCCATCTCACACGCGGCGGGGCTTCTCAGAGGCCCTCGCGCCCTCCGAGAAGCTCTTCCCGCGTCTTCGGGGAAGGCTTCGGGAGCGTCTCGGAGGGCCGGGGGGGCCTCCGAGCCTTCTGAGATGGCCCACCCCCTCTCGCTTCCCCCCTCTGGGCTCGCCGCCGAAGCACGGCGAAAGCAGGAGCATGGCGAACTAAGAACACACACCCATACCCACAGGGGGGACGGAGGGGGCCGCAGTGGAGGCCAGTCCACAAGAAGCCTCCCACGAGAGGCCGAATCCTGAGACCCCACAGGACGTCCGTCGATGTTTGGCGTGGGGGCGCCACGGCTTCCACTGCAGAGCCATCGAGACACAAGAAACCCAGGGCACCCTGGAGGCAAGCGGGGTGTTTCCTTGGCATGGGTCTCCACTGCAAGAGCACACGAGGGTGCTGTGGGTGCGTGCTGTCGGCTGGGGGGTCCCTGCTCGAACGGGGGCCTGGGCAGGGGCCCGAGAGGCCGCACCCGCGCCCACAGCCAGGCCTCCTCCCTCCGACCACCCCTGTGGATCTGGGTGTGGATTTCGCTGGTCAAAAGTGGGTGGCGACATCCGAACCCTACCCCAAGCATTTTTTTTTTTTTGTTTTGGCCACTGCGGGGCTCTCTAGGGTTCTCTTTCAGTAAGGGCGGCGATATGCCGGTGGCGGCAGGACGCCCAGGCAAGATAGCCACTGCCCTGGACCCCAATCACAGAGCAGAGGCAAGAATTACCCTCCATGAGGGAAAAGGAGGCGCACATCGATTCTCGCAAATCGATGGAAGCCAGGGGTAGGGTTCGGATGTCTCGCCACGTTCTCGAGAGAAATTCCGAACCCTGCCCCCGCCGCCACTCGAGTAGCCCGAATCGCTGCTCGGAGAGAACAAGGTTCGGATCTCGCCGTTGGAAGAGGGCGCGCCGGAAAGCCTTGGCCTCCTTCTCCCGCTCCTTTTCGTCCTGATGGCGCGGGTGCGCCGTGCTCCGGCATTGGAGTGCTGGCGACGCTGCTCTCTCAACCCCGGAGAGCCGCGCCATCTTCCATGACCCGACGTGTGGCTGCACTGCTCAAGCGACTGCCAACACACACGAGTTCGCACTGAAGCCCGCAACTAATCACAGCTTTCTCATTGCAAGGTTGAGCCTTGCATCTCGTATATCCCCTAGCCACACTGAGAATGGGAGCAATGATGGTTTGGACGCACCGGGAGTCAATGGAAGAGCCAGACAGGGATGAAGGCAAGAAGTGGCGCTTGCGAAGGAATGGCCAAACCAAACTGCTGATGTTACGCACCGCTTGATACGGTGCGGACGCGGCGGCAAGACACCCTCGCAAGAAACCCGTCCTGAAAACCCGCGCGCGAGATGCACACGGGGGACCCTGAGCGCAGCAGCCTCCTCATGGGCCGCGGGCAGTCACCGCGCAGCGCGCGCAGCGAAGACGCCCAGGGCACCCTGACGAAGGGCATGTGGCTTCTTGGTGCGCGCCCCCCACTCCTCCTCCTCCTCCTCCTCCTCCTCCTCCTCCTCCTCCTCCTCCCCCTCCTGCTACTCCTGCTCCTCCTGCCAGCAGCACGTGTCACTGGAAGAGGCCAGAGGAGGGGCGCAACGCTGGGGCGAAGGGGCGGGGGGGCGCGAGGCCGAGCACCACGAATGCGAGAGAGAGATCGGGGGCAGGAGCCGGGCCCAGTGGGGCGCCGGCAAGGGAGGGAGCAGAGGCGCCTCGGAGGCCAGAGTGAGGACAGGGTCGTGCAGGACTGGGAGGGAGGACAGGATCGCGAGGACCAGAGTGAGGACAGGATCGCGAGGACCAAGACCAAGACCAGAGTGAGGCCAGAACGAGGACAGGATCGCGAGGGCCAAGACCCAGGCCGGCTCATGCTTTGCTACACGCATGCCTGCACAAGATGCCTGTACTCTGAGGGGGGGCACAAGCAAACTGCCTGCCTGACGAGGAACTCTCACTTAACTGTGCAGCGACTGTCGAAGACTGCGAGGGACGAGAGGGGGGATCGGGATGATGGGGGCGTCTGAGGGTGCTGATGATACGCCCAATTCTCCAGGGCCTGCCCCATAGGGCGAGCAACTCGGCCTACGCCGAGGCAAATGCTGCAGGGGAAGATGAAGGACCCCGAGGGCGCAATGAAGATAACACACACAAGGATTAAACACACATTCAGTGCTCTGAGTAAAAGCCCAGGGGGCTAGGTCCATCTCTGCTTCAAGCAACTTCTTTGCGGTCTCCGACAGCTCGCCGGGATCGCGCTTCTCTATCTTGGGGCGCTGTGCATCGGAACCAACTCGCGACTTCAATGGAAAACTCGTCTGCTTTTGCCCGTCGTGCTTATTGGCAAATTCAATATTCCGTCTGAACGTGTATGCATGCACGTATACGTGATGTGAATTGCCGCCTGCTCGTCCTGCAGATCAGCCGATTCCTCCTCTTCCCTCTTCACCTTCAACTCCTCTTCCTAATCAACTCCAACCACCTCCGATCCGCGGATCGGCCTCCCGATCTGGATCGCGTGGGTCTATGAAGTGACGCGGGGCCGCCAACGGCCACGCAATGGCCACTCACGAGCCGTTCAATGGCCCCTTGCACTTTCACAAGTGGCCCTCACCTTACCCCACCCACGTCCTGCTCCAACTCCGTATCGTCCTCTTCGTCTTCGTCTTCATCGCCACCCCGCACACTACAACCTGGAGGAGGGCCCGTGGCCACTGGTCTGGTGTCGGAGGTTGTCCTGCTCCAATTCCGTATCGTCCTCTTCTCACACCTCTTCCTCTTCGTCTTCATCGCCACCCCGTAACCTACAACCTGGGGGTTGCCCGTGGTCGCTGGTCTGGTGTCTGAGGGGCTGAGAATGGGGACGGACAGTTTCAGTAATTCGAGAAAACAGAATATGGAGGTGAGCGGGAACAGGCGTGGGAGAAGAATGCGCACGAAACAACAGGCGAAGAGACCAAAGTCCCAAAACAATGTGGTTACTCCAATCCCCAATAACTCACCACACGGTGTGGTCATCGCACCATTCTGGAGGTCGCGAAGGGGTGTGGTGTTAAGGGGTGTGGTGCCAGGGCCGATGTTATCTACGATTGCTGCCGGCCACACAATTGGAGCCTCAGAAGGCACCGAAACGGGCCAAGAGGGCCCCAAAAGGCCCCCCGGACGGTCCAAGAGGGCTACGAGTCGCCGAAAGATCTCTCGAAGACGCACAAGATTGCCTCCAGACGGCCCCCAGGAAGCCCCAAGAAGCGTCCCAAGAGGCCCTCAAGAAGCAAAAATCGTCAAATTCCCTACATTCGACTCTTGGGCTTTCACGAGGCCCACAACGGCACAAGAACCCTTCAAGATCGATACAAGGTAGCCCGAGAGGTCCCCAAGAGGGCTCTAAGACGGCCCAAGAGGCCCCAAAGCCTCCGAAACGGCCCTGGAGGGCCCCAGGACGGTCCCAAGAGGAGGCCCAGAGGGGGAAATCGAATGGACATTTCGAGCACTCGGCCCCGAACAAACCTGAGGAGGCGCCAAGAGGCTCCCACGAGGCTCCCACGAGGCCCCAGAGGCCCCAAAAAAACCTCAGCACGACTCCCAACAGGCCGCAAAAGTGCTGCCACGAGAGACCAAAGAAAACCAAGAGCAGAGCCGCGATCCGCCAACCGCCCCCGACGAAATCCCAAGAAACTGAAACCCCAAGATTCCCCAGAAATCGCGCGCGTTCCGCAAACTCTGTTTTTCACTCTTACTACCGCCCCGAGGGGTCGGCGGTCCGGCGTCAGCCAATGAATCAGAACTTAATGTTCGAACTTCCCCTAACGACCGCAATCTGATGTGAATGGCGGCGCAAAAGCTTGTTACAGCACGCCCTGGCACCAAGCACAACACTTCTTAAATTTCGAATCGCGGAAAACATAATTCAGGAATTCTGGTATCTCAAACACATGTTTCAATCCATTCTTGAACTTAGAACAACATAAGACTGCTTCGATGCAACTCACACGGCCAAACATTCCGAAACGACATTACAACACTCTGGAATGACAAACAAGAATTCAGAAATCCCCGGGAACTCTAGAATCGCATGCCTGGCGATAGGGGTCATGGAATGGGACTTGGTGCCGCCGTTCAGACTGGACGGCGGTCGTGTGGAAAGTTGGAATCCTAAGCTTTGACTTTGCCTGACGCGGTCGACGCAAAGGCAACGTTGCTGCCATCGGGATGCAACGCACCTGTGGCGATCGTAGACAGCATCGCCATTCTCAGCACTGGCGCAACACCCCTCGACGACTCCTGAACAATCTTTGGGGCGGCCCCGATCAAACCCACCTACCTTTATGTCGGGCATGTCCCCCTGCAGGCGGATTTTGGACGAAAAATGAAAAATTGCCCAAACACCTTCAAACAAATGCTTCAAAATAGTAAAAAAAATCGTCCCCATATTATTTGGATTATTTTTGAATGCCCCTGACTTAAACCTACCTTGAAGTAGAACAAACGCCAAAAACGTAAACTTTTGGCGCTGCGAGCATATACCTTGGATCCGCGCCTGGCCTCCCCGGTGGCGCCTCTGGCGCCACCCGTGGCACGCTCCGCGCGCCAGGGATGGGGGCCCAGCGCGAATCCAAGGAACCCGCGCGGAGCGCAAAAAGTCTATGTTTATCTTTTGTTGTTGTTTCTTCTTCTTCTTCTTCGCCGACCCAGACAGCCAGCCGCTCCGATTTTTTCGCTGCGTGGGCCCTGGAGGTCCGGACCGGCTCCCCAGGGCCACTTCTTCGCCCCGAGCCGAATCTTTCGACGCCGCCGAGGCCCAGCGAGGGCCTCCGCGGGCCGAAAACCCCACCCTGTCTGAAGGGGCCCTGGGACACACAAGTAAACAGACACAAACAATAGGATTCCCTACACTTTCCTATATTTCTGGGTTTTTGTCTTCCCCCCCACTTCCCATATTTTCCCATATTCACTGGGGAATCGACGCTTACTTGTGTCTGTGTGTTTTTGTCCCCTCCTGACTTCTGGAGCGTCAGATCTCTGGCTATCCTGCAGTCGGGCGTGTCCCCCTTCACTGAAGGGCTTACAGGGCCTACAGGGGGATTTTGGACGAAAAATAAAAAAATACACCCCAAACATAGCCTGAAAATGCTCAAAAATGGTCAAAACATAGTTTCCCGGACTATTTTGTTGACTACTCCTGAATACCTTCTCCTGTAGAGGGACAGGCCCGACTTTTTACTTTTGGAACGTCGGATCTCTGGACCTCCTCGATATGGATCCGGCCGCCGGGCCGCCCGCCCGCAGCTCTGGACGGTCGGGCGCGTTGGGCACCCGCAGGCCTCGGCCGGCGCCCGCGCGCGCCGGCCGCGCGCGCCGGCCGCCGCCGTCGCAGGTCGGCGCCGCCGCTCGGACGTCCACTCCCCATCGGACATCGGACATCGGCCTGCAGTCGCGGCGCCGCGGGGGCGCTGCAGGTGGGCGCCGGGGCGCCCCCATGCATGACAATTGACGACGGTGAGACAAGGGACAAGCGAACGAGAGAAGACAGAGACAGAGAGAGACCAAGGGCGCCTAACTTCGCGCCCTCGCGCTGCGAGGAGCGCGACGCGCGAACAGCTTCGCGCCCTCGCGCCGCCCCCCCGTGGAGAGGAGGGGAACGAGGAAGCGGAGAGCCGAAGCGCGCAGCGCGAAGCACTCCGCGCCCTCGAGGTCGCCCTGGACTCCCCGTGCGTGCTTCGGCGTCGTGCGTCCTTTTGTCCGCAGGACGGCCCTGGATGCTCCTCCCTGGCCCTCTCCGAAGGAGGGCGCGCACGTCCGAGCGGTGCCGAGTTCCTGTGGTTCCTCGAGGCGCGGGGGCACAGGGCGGAGCTGGCTGCGGCACACGGGGCACTCCCCATCGCTCGGACTTTCACTCCCCATGCACTCGTCGATCTCGTGCGCGTGCACTTCGCAAGATGGCCCCAGATGTTCCTCGAGGGTCTTCGCTGAGTAACAAACTCCGCGCGTCCGAGCGATGCCAAGAGGTGGGGGGAGCGGAGAGAATACATTACACCAGAGAAGCACCCCAATCGGTGGGTGGTTTCGCTGAGGAGATCGACCGGGAACCCGGGAGCCTTGCAACCCAAGAGCCCACTGAAACCGGCCCGGAGCCAATGACATGGAACCCGGGAACCTGGAGCCGGGGACGCGGGCACCCGGCCTGCTGCCAAAAAATCGGCGGGAACTTTCGCCCAATCTTTCAGCCTCCGCCCGGACCCCTTCAGCGCAAGCACCGATTGGGGAATCTCGGGGCCTCGGGCGATCGGCGAAGCCGCCATCGCCACGCCGTCCGGCAGATTGGCCGTTCCTGGGCCGCCAGCGGCGTCCAACCTTCCAGAGCGGTCGCGGCAGCGTCGCCGCCGCGTCGGCGCAATACGCACATGCAGCGGAGGCCAGTCCACAGTAATCCTTCCACAGGAAGCCCAACCCTGAGACACCAGGACGTCCATGGATTGGTGCGGCAACATCACGATCTCAATCGCAAAACCATCGAAACCCAAGGGCCCCAGGGCACCCTGGAGGCAAGCAGGGCGTTTCTTGGCGCGGGTCTCCACTGTACCTACCTTTAGGTCGGGCGTGTCCTCCTCCAGGGGGGGGTTGGGGCGAAAAAATCAGCATGGCCAGAGAATACTCGACAGATGCCAGAGAAATCGTAATCTGTTTGCTGTGACTGCTTTACTATTCTGCTATCTCACTGTGTTTACGTCCTCTTCGTCCCCGGGCTCTGCCTTGACCATTTCTGAATCCACTCCTCCCGTGGAGGGACGCCAGGCCCGAGTATCAAAACCTGCCTTCGCGCCTCGTGCCCCGCGGCCAGTGCGCGCGCGCGCGCGGCGCACGCGGCGCCGTCGTCGTCGCGGCCCCCCGCGCCGCCGCCCCCCTCTGGAGCAGGGCTGAACCTACACGGTGCGCTTCGTTTTCGTTATGCTTTCGTCTTCCCTCGCTGTCGTCTCGAACCCGCCTTTACCGCAGAACGAAGCCGAAACAAAAACGGCCCCCCGAAATCGCCCAAAAACACCGTTGAGGTCCAGCCCTGCTCTCTCCTCGCGTTTCACGGTGTAGACTCAGCCCGAACTGATTGCGCGCCCTCCACTTGGATGGGCGCCAAAGCGCCCTCATCGATCCGCTCTGCTAGGGAAGAGGGCGTGTGCCGAACCGGGTGCACATTTTGAATTCACGCCTTCTCCGAGCATCTCTTAGCGGGATCAGCTGTGGATGCATGCACGTATGAGGTCCAGCCCTGCTCTGGAGGGGGGGGCACAGAACTGCCCTGCCGCCCGAGGCCGCGGCGCGCCGAGCGCGCTGCTCTCTGCGCGCCCCCCTGGAGACGACCAGATCGGGGATGGACAGACCTCCCTTTAGTAAAACGTGATTTAGTGAAAACGCCCTCGGGCCCAAACCTGGCGGGCGCACGCCTGGAAAATGACGGCCGCGGCGCCCTCTCGAGAACCGAAAACGGGCAATTCACTAATCGACGTGGCAGGGTAGGAGGTCTGTCCACCCCTGGCCAGACAAGAGGGGCACGAAACATGACATACAGTCGGGCCGCTGAAAGAAGGAACGCTAAATAAGGAACGAAGCCCCTCCTTGGCCCTGTAAGCGCCTCCGTGCCCCAGGAGGGCAGGAGGAGCAGCACTGGAGGAACCTGAGGAACATCGAGCCCCTTCCGAACCCGAACTGTTCCTCATTTCAGCGTCCTGACTGTATGGGGAACGAAACATGCCGTGACCATATACAAGACTCGGAGGTCCGCGCAGCTTTCCCGGATCGGCGCGCGCGGCACGCGGCGTCGTCTTCGCGGCCCCCCGCCGCCGCCGAGGCCGCGGCGCGTCGAGCGCGCTGCTCTCCGCACCCCCCCTGGATAAGACCGAACCAGAGCACGTGTACATGTGGCCATCGCTCGGACGTCCATTCCCGTATTCTTCTCGGTTTCGTGCGTGGTTTCTTCGCCACATGATCAAGGATGCTCTCCTCGACGGCCCTCGCCGAAAGAAAAGTGCACACGTCCGAGCGATGCCACGCTGGATGAGGCCGCACACGAGCCTGTGCACACGTGTTCGCCGGCGGCGAGGCAGCGGCAGTCCGCACCCAGCGCAGGAGACGCGAGCAGGGGCACTACTGCGGAGCTGCAGTGCACCGGCGCGCACAAGAGGGAGGAAAAAAGGAAAACCTTAAGGGGCCGCGGGGCCGGAGGGAAGGGGGAGACTGGAGGCGCTCAGAGGCGGAGAGATTCCACCACGAGCGGGCCGGGGCGGCAGCAGCGGCGCAGCGGCGGCGACCAGGGGGCCTGGGAGCGCGCGCTGGGCGGGCCCCAGACAAACAAACACGACAGAACAAACAGAACAGGATTGTCCTTTTCCGTTGGCCCGACAGATGCTCAGGTGCAGTCTCTCAGCGCCACTTCTCCTGCGCGGCATGATACTTTTCCGCTGCCGAGCCGACATGTGTGGTGCGGCATGGTTTGCAAAGTAACGAACGAAGTGGAGGTGACCTGAAGCAGAAACGACACTCGGCCGTGAGGAAGCCATAAGAGGTTCGCGTGCTTTTGACGGCGCACCAAGCTTCTCTGAATCAAAACTCGGCGGCGTGCGAGAGGGCAAGGGAAAAGGAGAAGGCCGTCTCAGAAGGCGGCGGGGCTTCTAGAAGCCCTCGCGCCTTCTGAGACGCTTTTTATGTCTTCGGGCAAGGCTCAGACAACTAAATCAGGAGCGCTAAATCAGGAGCGCCTATCACCGATGTCTGAAGTCAGGAGCGCTGAATCAGGAGCAAACCACTTTGGGGCGCCAACAGCACCTGAGTGCACGAGGATGGCTACAGAAACAGCCACGAAGGACCTGAGGAACATCGAGCCGTTTCCGAACCCAAACTGTCTTATGTTTCAGCGTCTTGACTGTACCGTTGTCTCAACTCGCCCTCATCTCGGGATCCACCAGAGGGGGGTGACCCTGAGGGGGGGTGTGAGTTCGATCCGTTGGTGCACCGAACTGCCGCAAACAGATGCCCCCCTGCATGCCCCACCAATCGGCAACTTCCGGGAGCTGCCGGCGGCTGTGGGCGCATCTGTTTTGGGCGGTTCGGTGCAAAAACCGATCGAACTCACACACACCCTGGGGCACACACACCCTTCACAGACCCCCGACGTCATGATTTGTTCATGACGCGACCCCCAGAGGTTTAATCCTGCGCCGTTTTTTGACGGTCCCGAGGCCTGGTGAGGGCCCCCAGAGGCCGAAAATTGTGAAAAACCTCCCGTCGTGATTGTTTCATGACCCGAGGGGGGCCTGGGCTTGCGGGAGCCCGATGCTCTGAGAGGAGCAGCCGGCGCGGCCTGGGAACCTCATCTCCCTGTCGGTCAGCGGGCGGTCGGGCGCGCTCAGCTTGCCAGGCGCAGCGGGCTCGCGCGGGCTCGCCTGGGCGGGGAGAGCCCAGCATCGAATCGATGGGTCGAATCGGCGGTCGAGAGAAACCGGATCGGCGCAGTCGGCAGCTAGATTGGGAGACGCCGAATGTGCGGACATCGGCAGGCGAGTGATGCTTCCAAAAGAAAGCCGACATCCAAGTCGGCATCCGAAGTCGAATCGAATCTTCTGTGGCAACTCATGGGGGCCTCCATGCCATCTTGTTGGCTCGTACGAGTCGACGCTAATCGACGCTCGTCGGCAGTAGCCGACGCTGAACCGACGCTACTCGACGCGAGTCGGCACTAAATCGGCACTGTCCCATTGATTACCAGGCGCCAGCGCACGCTAGTGTACTCTAGAGACTGAATTGCGAAGACATACGAGGTTCCCATGATTGAAAAACCGGAACCCGTTGAGAAATCGGAATCCAATAAATCGAAATCCGAAGCTGAAGTCGAGTCGGAACTGGAACCGATCGAGATCGACTCGAACCTGATAGTCCGATGTTCCACCACCACTAACATAGGAAGAGGAAGAGGAGGGAAGAGGGTGAGACCAGGAAAACACCAAAAGAATTACTCTGGAATAAATCCTGCAAGAGTTTGGAATTCGAGAAATGATTACTCCAGAATTAATTCACAGGGAGGTTGGAACGAGTTCCATAACGCGAAGATTTACTCTGGAGTAAAGTATGCTTCGCGCTGGAAGTGGTGCGAGCATTATCGAGGATGCTCTCCAGAGGAAATTCGCGGGTGCCAGAGCAGATACTGCCAGCCTTCCCCGTGAAATACTCCAGAATACATTCGCGGGTTCAGGGCGAGCCCCGGCTTCAGCCTCCTGGGGGATTGACTCTGGAAAAACATGGTTTAATTCCTTCTGGTTTCACCTTCTTCCGCCTGGAAACATGTTTGAATAAGGGGGAAATTAAACCAGACAGTCATAGTCCTGACCTGAGGAACGATTGATAAGGAACGAAGCCCCTTTTTTCCAAGTCAGTCTACGAAGTCCGAACGAACGGCCAAGCCCCTTTCTAGCGCCAAAAAGGTAGCGGAACGCATGCAAACCTAAGAAACGACCGAGTCCATTTTGAAAAGTAAGTATTCCTTATTCAAGCCGCTCACTGTACTTCGGAGTGAATGGAGCCTGTCAAATGTTTGCGCAAACAATCGGAAAAGTTTCCGACAAACGAAAGAGCTCCTCAGAAATGACCTTTGGTAGGCTCTGTGAAGCAGGCCCCTCCAGCAGCTCTTCTGACGCCTGTAAGGGGCCCGTGAACAAAAAACCGTTTAACGAATTTCGGGGAGAAGGGGGGTGGTTTGCACGATGTCCCTGAAAGGCCTCTCCGAAGTCTCCCAACAGAACGTAGCAGAACCCCTCCGAAAGCTTTGCAGAACGTGGTGACGAGCTGCTCGAAGGCATGCGGATACCCTAGTATAACCACCCAGCACGACCACCCAGCACGGCCATCATGCACGACTAATTACTCAGCACGACCACCCAGTACCACCACGGGGGCCCGGCGAGGGCCTCCACAAGAGGTCAAAAACGGCGAAAGACCCTCGTCTTGCTCGTTTCAATTCGCTGGATCTCTGGGTGTGGGCCATGGGGGCTCCAAAATGGAGTGAAAAGCTTGCAGCTGATGGGCCCATGTTCCACCACTACCATCGGTAGGACGGGGGAGAAGGGCGGAGGGGGAGGAGGGGAGGTCCTCCTCCTCTTCCTCCTCCTCCTCCTCCTCCTCCTGCTGCTCCCCCTCCTACCTATGGTGGTGGTGGTGGGAACTCGGCCCATCAGGAGCACCTTTGGCCAGGGGTAACTTTCGCAGCCCTCGAACCTGTGGCAGCCCCCAGCCAGGGCAGCAACGTCTCCAACGCGAAGGTCCAGCTCCCGCGAGCGCCGCTGACGCCACCCCGCGCCCAAGCAGCGACCCGACAATGAACCCAACATAGGCGGTTTTCCCCCGTGTTCGGCCTCTGGCAGCCCTTACCGTGCCCCGGGACCGTCCAAGAACGACTCAACATGATGTAAAAAAACGATCCCGGGGAATGGATCGAGACAGCTGGGGCTCACGTCATCTACAAAAACCATGACGTCGGGGGGCTGGGGGGACGGCACGCTCGAAACGTTGCGCATGCAGACGGCGCCTGCGCATCACCACCTTGCCAGGCCATGGCAACCCTGGGCCCTGACGTGGTGGGCGCGGGGGCGGCCGGGCCACCAGGGAGCTGCCCGAAGGGACTGCCAGACATGGTGGAGGAGAGGGAGGGAGGGAGGGGGGGAGGGGGGAGGGGGGGAGGGGGAGGAGGAGGAAGAGGAGGAGGAGGAGGAGGAGGAGGAGGAGGAGGAGGAGGAGGAGGAGGAGGAGGATGCGTACACCGTCCCGGGGTGGTCCTGCCAAGCATGGCGCATGGCGGAGGTGCATACATGCGCGTCTCGTGCGGAGTTGCACAGGCCACTCCTGCATCCTCCGGCCCCGTTGCCAGCCCGGCGGGGTCTCAATCGGATGATGCTGATGCGGTCGCCCTCCACTAGCTGAACATATCCCTTCGACACACGGAAGCTAGTCTGCTGAAGGCGAAGATGCTGGAAGCGCAGAAGATTCAAGGCCTGCCTTGGCGTCTGCACCACCAGTCTTCTTGGGCCCGCCCATCTTCTGAATGAGCTCAAACAACCTGCGGCAAAGGCGTCGCGACTATCACCATGAGAAGCAGGACGGCAAAGTGAAGCCCGAATGATATTAGTGGGTGTGGGACAACACAGGGGAGGATGAAACACAATATATGCGACGCAGAAAAAAAAAAACACAAAGGGGTAGGAACATGGCTCCAGCCGGTACCCGCTTGATGCGTTCGGCTGCGTCCCTCCCCAAACTACTCTTCCGCAGGTGTCCAACATCCTGTGAGGGCGACGACCTTCTCAATGCAACTCCAGGATCCTACGAAACATGCGAAATGGCACACCAGCCCATAGACGCATCCAAGATAACTCCATCGTGGTCCTAAATTGACAACCAATAGGTCCCAGACTACACACGATGATCTCAGACGGCCTGTGCGATAGTTCCATGCGCTTCCGAAATTGCTCCTAAAGAAATCATAAAACAAACACACCATATCACGGTGAGGGGGCTGAGCGGTCTTACACAGTCCCTGTGTGCGCGGCTGTAGAAACATGGTTGCGCTGTGCGGAGCGTCCAAATCATTTGAATCACATGCTAGCCAGCGCGAACCCCAAAACTCGCGTCGATGCACTGTGGAATTTCACTTTTGCGGTGTAAGCTTTGTGGCGAAAGCTGTGTCGTACAAACTGTATGGTGTAAGCTGCGGGAACGCAACATATGAAAATTTAGTTCTATGGTGCACGCTTTAGTTGTGAAACCAATGACAATGGACACCCTAAAATCCGATCGTTGAATCAATAATGTGTTTATAACGTTCAAACTATGTCATGTAACATGTTAAAACATGTTTTTAATGTGTGACACATGTTTAAAACATGTTCTTGACGTCTGGAAAATCGAGTGGCAACATGCTTCCTCTCCATGGATCGTTCTCCATAGCGCTATACCGTGCAGGCCAGGCGGTGTGCGCCGAGGCTGAAGGATAGTGGGGTGCAAGCTGCGCGTGCGCTTGTTGGTGACCGCTATCGTGCAAACCCACGGGGCGGCACGGGCGGAAACGTGACGCAACCCCGGAACACACACACACACACACACACATACACGCACGTACGCGCACGCACGCACACACATACACACACGCACGCACGCACGCACGCACGCACACACACAAGCACACACACAAACACACACACACACACACACACACGCACATACTCACGCACACACAAACACACACAAACACACACACACACGCATACGCGCACACGCACACACACACACGGACACACACACACACACGCACACACACACACACACTCACACACAGCACGCACACACACACGCAACACACACACACACACACACACACACGCACGCACGCACGCACGCACGCACGCACCACACGCGGGGCGCCCACGAAGCGCCCACGGGGCGGTACGGGCGGCAACGTGGCGCGACCTCGGCATACCCCCCAACAGCAGAACGCCCACGAGGCGGCTCGGGCCGCAGCGTGGCGAAGACCCAAAACACTACCCAACATACATCCGGAAGGCACGCCAGAATCCTTCGGCGCAAACGCTGTGGGAAGACACGGATATGTTTGATCCCGTCGTCCGCCCCGCACTGTGCGTTTCAACTGGGATGCGCTCCCCGCCCCCCCCCCCCCCGCGTCGCACATGTTTACCTGTGAACCAGCGCGGGTTCCTAGCAATGTGTGTGCGTTGGCCATCTAAGTTGTGTTTTCTACGCGGTGCAATATGAGTTGTGCGTGGTGCGATCTACGTAACGCAAGGAGGTTTGGAAAAAAACTTGGAAGTATCAGTATTTCTACGGGTCGCGGAATCATCCCAACGACACACCCGCAATTTGGTTTGCAAAACCCATGCGGCGGCGATTGCGATGACTGATTGGTGTCGGTTGGTGCATCTCTGCGGTCGCGCTAGCCTGCACATGCTCGCGCGCACGGCGGCCCGACCGACGCGGCCGCGGTGGCGCTGACAGCTGGGCACTTCCCAAGTGGCATTTCAATGCAACTCGATGACTTGGGCGGGCGCGTGATCGTGGCGATGTCCACAACACGGTAAACACGATGATGATCGTAGCGATGATGGTGGCGATGATGAAGATGACGACCAAGGCCAATGATGGTGCCGATGCTGATCACGCCGGTGACGACGACGGTGCATTCGCGTCGGCGATGAAGGTTTTGGAATGAGTTCGGCATGCGCGCGCCGACGACGCGCGCGAGTGGCCCGCATGGTGCTAGTCGACAGGGACCCCCCCACAGCACGCGCGCAAGGGCTGTCGAACAACTTCGCCATGCGGTGAGAATGGCCCTCTTGACAAAATGTGCTAAAAATGTTGGAACGTATGGTTTCCTTGGATTTCACGACGGCGCGCGCGCAAGCTTTTTCTGACAACTGGCGTTGCAAAACCATTTGGTGTTTTATAGGTTGTCGGGGCACTCGACGTTCAACCCCCCGCGGCACCCCAAGTTTTGAAGGATTTCGGCATGGGCGCGCGGCGACGCGCACGCGACTGCCCTTCGTACCATTTGTTGCAAAGATATGTGCGACAACGCGCGCGCAAAAGGCATTCGGACCATTGCGGCACGCGCGCGGAGGGCACGTCAGGTAGCTATTGATGATATGGCTGAAAAGCAAAACTGCTTTCCTTAAGAACTCGCAAAAGCGCGAGCGCATGCTTGTTTGAAACTTCCAGTTGCGAAACCAGTGGTCTTCCACACGTCTTTCGGGACAGTCGATGCTTGCGGACGAAGCCGCAGGGTGTTTGAAGGGTTTCGGCATGCGAGTGCGGCGACGCGCGCGTGCGCATTTTGTTCCATCGTGTTGCAACATGTTTTGGGACATTCATGATTGTTGATGATAGAAGTGCGTTCTACGTTGCGGAGTCTACGTGGTGCTATTCAACCTTTTTCCGCTGTGAGCTGTCAACCCCACTGCTCGCGCAATCATCCCACCGACCCCGTTTGTAAAATCCACGCGGCGGCGATTGCGATGACTGCTTGGCGCTGGCTGGTGCATTTCTGCGGCCGCGCCAGCGCGCGGAGGCTCGCGCGCACAGCGGCCGACTAGTCTGGCGCGACCAGCGCGGCCGCGGTGGCGCTGACGGCTAGGAACTCCCGAACACGTCTGGCAGGCCACGATGGCGCGCGGGCACTTCAGTGCGAGTCGGTGACTCTAGCGGGCGCGGTATCTTTACGACGTCGACAACCATAGGGACGACGATGATAATAGCGATGCTGGTGGCAATGATGGCGATGATGATGGTAAGGCCAACGGCGGCGCCGATGCTGATGACGCCGGTCACGCTGAGCCGCTTATCGCGACGAAGACATAGATTCTGGAAGGACGCCGGAATACGAGCGCGGCCGACGATCGCGGGGCGCGGGTGGAGTAGAATGTGAAAGGGATCGCGCCCCCCTCCCCAGCAGGCGCGCAAAGGCGTGCGAATGATTTCGACACGCGCGCGCGAAAGGCCCGCTTGCTCGAATTTGATGAACAACGTTGAGGAACCGATGGCGTCCAGGGGGATATTCAAGAACGCCCACGCAGACTTTTTCGGCACGTCACGAGGCAACACCTATGTCTCCCCGGTGTTCGGAAACCTCTATATTGAAAACCCCTGCGACACCGAAGGTTTTTGAAGGACTCCAGCATGCGTGCGCGAGTCCGCGCGTGGATTTTGTTTCATCAGTTGCGTGGAAATCGTGCCCCTAGCAGGCGCGCCAAGGCGGTCGAATGATTTCGACACGCGCGCGCGAGTGGCCCGCCTGGCCGCAGTTGATGAACATGTTGGCCACAGATGGTTCCCCAACGATATCGAAAGATTTCGCTCGCATTTGGGCAACGCATGTTGCAACACCATGAGTCAGTTGAATGACGTCGGGGACCTCGATATTGACATCCTCACGGCACCGTCGGTGTTTGATCACTGCGTGGGCTTTGTCATATTCGTCGCCACGAACGATTAAACATTGGAGAGTTTTTGATCGAGGATTGCGGTCGCAAAATTTACTGGCGAGGCTGAGTGGAGGCGTCGGTACCGGCTAGGCTGGTGCGAATTCAAATTCAAAGTTCGAGCGAACGATGGGTAATAACCACATGTGAATCGTACTAGCACGCGGAAGGTCGATAAAGCCGGGGGGAGCTAACACTTCCTTGTCAACAAGGACAACGGACGTGGTGCAACATCTGTTCTGAACTATACGTGGTGCAACAGATGTTGTGGGCATTCTAGAAGTTCAATACATTTTGTGCAAGCTACGTGGTGCAGTCGAAGTGGTGTGTAGTCTGCGTGGTGCAAACTACGTTGTGCACTCTATGTGGTGCACTCTGCGTGGTGCAATCTATGTAGTGCAGCATCTGTTGCGCACTTAATGTGGTACAACACCTATGTGTGAGAGCGCGCCGCTGGATGACCACAAGGGGGGGGGGATCCCCCCCCCGTTCCCCGATCCATCGTCGGGGACCCCCCATTCCCCCCTTTCCCGATCCGTCGTCGGGGACCCCCCCCCTTCTCCCCCTGTCCCTGTCCGTCCTCTGGGATCCCCCCCCCTCTCCCCTTTCAAAACCCCCCTTCCCCCCTTTTAGACACCCCCCCGTTTCGCCACGGCGCCCCAGGTCTCCGGAACCCGACCCCGAACACCCCTCACACGAATCCTCACCCTTAGCCTAAACCCCCGGGCCCCAAACCCAAACCCTAGCCCCAAACAGCACTCACTACTCACTACGCACTACTCACCACCCACAAATCATTACTCGCTACTCTCTACACACTTCTCACTACTCACGACTCATTACTCACGACCCACGACTCACTACCCACTACCCTCTACTCACTACTCCCTACTCCCTACTCACTACAAATTACTCACTACCCACTACTCACTAATCAATACTCATTAAACGCAGCCCACAACCCACTGCTCACCAATCACAAATCACTTCTCACTGCCCACTAACCACTGTCCACTACTCACTACTCACACTTCACTACTCACTGCCCACAACTCACTACTCACTATGCACTACTTGTTACTCCCTGCACAGTACTCACTACTCACTACTCGCTAATCCCCACGCCCTACTCGCTACCCGATACACACTATTCAGTACCCACTACTCACCACGCTCCCACTACTCACTACTCACTATTCACTACTTCCTACTCCCTACTCGCTAACTACTCCAAACGCACTACTCACTACTCACTACCCAATACTCGATATGCACTACTCACTAAACTACTCGCTTCTCATTAAGCACTACTCACTACCCATTAACCACTATCCACTACTTACTGCTGGGTACTCACAATTCGCTACTCACTACGCACTGCCCACAACTCACTACACACTATCCGCTTCTCGCCACCCAATACGAAATATTCACTACCCACTACGCACTACTCGCTACTCACTACACCCTTCTCCCTACTTACTGGTCACTAGTCGCAAGTCGCTATTCACTACTCACTACTCACTACGATGCAGGGCGAACAATGGTGTGCAAGCTATGTGGTGCAATCTGTATGGTGCAGCGAAATGATGCGGTGCAGTCCACGTGGTGCCACCGATGCGGTACAACCTACGCTGCCCACCCACAGGGCGGCGACGAGGCGGCGACACGGCGGGAACGGCGACGACATCCGCCACCGTGCCTCTGGGTACGGAGTGGGCGTGTCCTCAGGTCCTCTGCCCCATCCCCTGCGCCTCAGCCCTCACTCCTCCTCCTGCCCCTCCTCCTCCTCCTCGTCCTCCTCTTCGTCGTCGTCGTCCTCCTCCTCCTCCTCCTCCTCCTCCTCCTACTCCTGGCCCAAGAGGGCCCCCAGACGGCCCAAGAGGGCCTCAAGACAGCCCAAGAGGGCTCCATGATGGGCCTCAGAGGAGCCCACGAGTGGGATCACGAACCGAACATCCGAGCTTTCCGCCCCTAGAGGCCCCCAGGATACCCAAAGAAGACCCCAAGGGGCCATAAGAGGTCACCAAGAGAACCCAAAGAGGGCACATCAAAAAATCCAAGACGCTTCCAACTGCCTCCAAAAGGTCCCTAAGAAACCTCCCACGAGACCCAAAGGACATCTGATAGGCTTCATACCCGCTACTCAAGCACGGTGGCGGGATGGGCCGAATGCCATTAGATAGCCGTCAGAACGACTGACAACCCCCGACGACGGGCAGCGACGAGGCGGCAACGGGTGGCGACGGCGATAACATAGCCGACAGAACGACAAAGAGGCTCAGACGAGCCCAGACGACGCGCGGCGACGAGGCGGCGACGGGGCGGCGACGGAGACAACATAGTCGCCAGACTGACAGAGAGAACGACAGGGGAGAAGTAATAACCCCTGAGTGCGAACACGGTTTGGGGAAACAAGGGGTCTGCTGCCTCACACTGTGTTGTTGGCCCCTTGGCTACAGCATCAACAGTTCCAGCAGGACGCGGCCTCTCGATTTACTCAGGAGCATCGCGTTTTCGCTCTAGGTGTCCTCGCTACTTGCGCTGGCCTTCCTCACAACTTACTCAGGCGTTGCGCTCTCGACGTCTTGGAGCGGCGATCTCGCGCAAGACTTCCACGTTTCACTCAGGAATCATGCTCTCGCTTGAGGCTTCCTCGATCACGGCCCGACCTAGGACGGACGAACATCCTTCAAGAACACGAGGCCCTCCGCAGGCCAAAACACCCCGAACCAGACAGATCACTCAAGGGTACCCTCCCCGAGGCTGCACAAGAGCACCCAAACACATACAAAGAACATTCGGGCACCCTCACCGAACCAACCTCGATCTTTATACCTCGGCCCGACCGTAAGAAACTTGTTCCAGCGCCTCGCCTGCCCGGCGGAGCCCGCCCGCCCGACCCGCCCGCTGGGGCCCACCCGCCCGATACCCACCCTTTCGGGTCCGCCCGTTCGCTTCTGCTTGTTGGCGGCGCGCACAAGGGGGTAGGGGGAGGGGGGAAGGCTTCTTAGAAGAAGGCTGCTTCTTAGAAGGCGCCGGCCTTACATCTACAAAGAAGGCCCGCGCCTTCTGAGAAGCAGGGGTTTCTAAGAAGCCTTCCCCCCCCCTACCCCCTTGTGCGCGTGGCCAGGCTTGGAAGCCCACGCGTCCGTGCTGATGCCCCGCCCGAACCGCCCATTGGGGGGTCCGCCCGCTCGGCTCCTCGGTCGGGGACCTCTGCGAGGGGCCACTCCAGATCCCTTCTCAATCCCAAGTGAGATCGATTGTGAGATCGATCGTGAGATCGATAGAGAAAAGGGTAATGAGATCGATGGTGAGACCGACTGTAAAGAAAATCGTCCAAATCCCTTCTCAATCGTCCCCCGGGTCCGGTTTTTTAAGGCGCCTTTTCTGTAACTGGGGGGGTCCGGTTTATGAGGGCGCTTTCCTTGGATTGGAGCTTAGGGGTTCCGGCTCACTAAGGCGTCCCGTCGAAGAGGGGGGTCCGGAATATCAGGTCGCATTTGGAGGGGGGTCCTGTTTTTTACGGGGGGTCGATTAAGAAGGGATTTGGAGTAGGAGGCAATCAACTCCTGGGAGGTCTTCGATGGAACGAGTAAGGGAAATTCAGCCCGACGGGAGGGCGACTCCGCCGGATTTGGCCAGATCAAGCCCGGGATGAAGCGATTCAGCGGGATGAAGCCGGATTAGCCCAGATGAAGCCAGTTATCGTTCGCGAAACGTACGTACAGGACTCAGTCTGCCAGGAGCTGCATGCCGGCAGGGGCACCTGCTGCCCCGAGAAGGGCACCCGGCGGCCTCACGGCCACGGTCGTCCCCGCGCGGCCCGCACGTCGGGTGCCCCCCCGTTGCCTCGCCAGCGCTCGGACGCCCATTCCCCGTGCATTTGTCGGCTCCGTGCGTGCATTCTGATTTCGCACGATGATGCCACGATGCTCCTCGATGGCCCTCGCCGAGAAACGATGCCCACGCCCCAGCGATGCCGAGCCATGGAATGGAACCGGAATCGGAAGCCATCGAAGTCGAATCGAAAAGAGCCCTGACACTGTGATCATGGCTGGCAAGGCAGGGGGGCGCCGCGCATCTCTCGGTCGGGCCGTGGGGGGGGGGGGGGCGGAGCTCGCCCATTCAAAAAAAAAGCTTGGGCGCCGGCGACGGCGGGCATAGCACGCCGCAGGCTGGGCGAGTCGCCGTCCACCGGGCACCCGCCGCGTGTCCGGGTGCCGAGGGCGGAAGCACTGGCTAAAACCTACACCAGGGCAAAAGCCCCAGTCAGTGGATGGTTTGGAAATTAGTGATGCAGGTTTCGAGGTCGATTGCGATAGCGATTTTGTGCAATAGAAGGTAGGGCGGACGATTGTGAGGTCGATCGTGAGACCGATAGTGAAGTCGATTTCATGAGATCGATAAAGAGATTGATCGTGAGATCGCTCGTGCGATCTATGGTGAGATCGATTGCGAGATCGATAATAAAGAAAAGGGTAATCAGATCAATGGTGAGAACGACCGTAAAGAAAATCGGCAAAAACCCGGGGGAACCCAAGAACCCGCCGCCCACCGAAATCGGCCAGGAACCGGGAAACAGGACCCCGGGAACCTGGAAACCGGGAACCCAAGAACCCCGCCGCCCACCGAAATCGGCACGGAACCCTGGGGAACCCCAAAACCCCGCCGCCCACCGAAATCGGCACGGAACCGGGAACCCGGAACCCGGGAACCCAGGAACTCCGCCGCCCACCGAAATCGGCCCAGTACTTTCGCCGAATCTTTCAGTCTCCGCTACTTCAAATCCCTTCTTAATCGTCCCCCGGGTTCAATTTTTAAGGCGCCTTTTCTGTAACTGGGGGGGTCCGGTTTATGAGGGCGCTTTCCTTGGATTGGAGCTTAGGGGTTCCGGCTCACTAAATCGTCCCGTCGAAGAGGGGGGTCCGGGTCCGGAATATTAGGTCGCATTTGGAGGGGGTTATGTTTTTTAGGGGGGGGGATTAATAAGGGGTTTGGAGTAGGACCCCTTCAGTGCAAGCACTGATTGGGGACAAAACTGTCGGTGGCCCGCGGATAGGTTGGAGCGGCGCGGAGGCCCCTGGCACGCGGGGCGCGCCAAGAAGGGCGGTGCGGGAGGCGCCGCAGGGGGGGCCGATAGCCGATCCAAGAGATACGCGCGGACCTCCAGGCTTTCGTGCTTCTGTGGTTGCTTCCTTTCTCGAAGATCGCTACGAAGCGCCAGCTGGGAGGGGAGACGAGGATGAGGAGGAGCAGGATATCAGACTGCCCGGCGGCCTCTGGCAGAACGGCTTGGCGCTCTCGGCTCCGTTGTCCTTGAGCTTCACCTGCGCACCGCACTACTGGAAAGACAGCGCAATTGCAAGCACAACGCTGGGACGGCAAATTCACGTTGTGATGGCGACGGCGTCAGTCTCTGATACCGCGTGTAGCGCTCAAGCTCGAGCTCCGCGGCTTTCCGATACGCAGGTCGCTTCGCACGACAGAGAATTCTTGGCCAATGGCTGCGTTCAAGCTTGAACGCCCGCGCTGGGGTCACCGCCGCGTCGACACCGCACGAGCCTGGCGTAGTTAAACTACGCCAGGCTCGTGCGACAGGGGGTCTTCAATGGGGGCTGCATGGCCCATGTATGCTCCATGTATCGTTCATGTATGTGATCGGGTACGATTGGCATCCAATGCTGGCGGTCATTGATGGCCAGTCATTCGTGCCCGCGCGTTGCCCGCGCGGGCACGCGCGCCGTCCATCCATTATCGTTCATGCGTGCGTGCGTTCTTGCATATTGCGTGTGGGTCGGCGAAGTGGAGTGCAAATGTGTCTTGATTGTGCGGTTGATGACCGCGTATGTTCCCAAACGATGACTTCTCGACCCCCAAGACAGATTTGGAATGGGCCCCGCGATTCTCCCAAAATGTGAATTCACATTTTCCTTTTTCCCAAAATGTGAATTCACATTTTCCTTTTTCCCAAAATGTGAATTCACATTCTGGCCCCTTCATAAAGAATCCTACACAAAATTCCAAAATGTGAATTCACATTTTCCTTTTTCCCAAAATGTGAATTCACATTTTCCTTTTTCCCAAAATGTGAATTCACATTTTGCTTTTCCCCACAATGTGAATTCACATTTTGCCCTGGCCTTCAAGATCCCCAAACTGAGGCGCAGTGTTCCGCATGTCAGATTGGCTGGGCAGATTTCGACACTCACCTGACCGCTTTCGTGTGTTCCAGCCTTTTCTTTTTGCGCCCTTAGCGCACGTTGCCTTCGTCGCCTTTCCCGAGCCCCCCGCCCCCTTGCTTCCTTTCCCCTCAAGTCTCGCGCGCGGGTGCAGGCGGGGGGCTTCAATTA